AAATGTAACTGACATCCTACATACACGCTCATGCACAGGCACATACACACTTATAAATGCATGTAAAATATAAATAAAATGTAACTGACATCCTAACCACACATACACACACACACACACACACACACTCATGCACAGGCACATACACACTTATAAATGCATATAAAAATAAATAAAATGTAATTGACATCCTAAACACACACACACACACACACACTCATGCACAGGCACATACACTTACAAATGCATGTAAGAAATAAAGTATAAAATGTAACTGACATCCGGGTTCCCTTCTACCCTGCTCTAATTGTGCCTGCAGGGCAGGGTGGGACCACAGCTGGAAGCCACACGCATGCCCTTGTAGGGCAAACACAGGTGCCGTCTGGGCAGCCCAGCCTGGGGAAGCTGCCTCTCAACAGAGCGTGTTGACTCCTGCTGCAGTCTTTAGCTTCCGCCCGGGAATTCCCCTGGGATGGGAATCCAGGGAGACCAGCACTGCTCACATGGCCATTGCCAGCCACCGACCTTGGATGTGCTGATTTGGCTCTCTGTATGCCACCATGTCAGTGGTAGACAAGGTGTATTGATAAAGTGATTCTAACCCCGAACCCTAGTTTGTGTGACACTGACCAGGTGCTAGGAGTAACAGCCTTTATGGATGAGAACTCATCTCCCACGTTCCCTATGGTGGTTTGAAAGAAAATGGCCCCCTAAGGGTGGGGCGCTGTTAGGAGGTGTGGCTTTGTTGGAGGAGGTGTGGCTTTGTTGGAGGGGGTGTGGCTTTGTTGGAGGAGGTGTGGCCTTGTTGGAGGAAGTGTCACTGTGGAGGCAGGCTTTGAGGTCTCATCTGCTTAAGCCACGCCTAGTTTCTCAGACCACTTCCTGTTACCTGCAAGCTGTAGGACTCCTTCTCTAGCACCATGTCTGCCTACACACTACCATGTAGCACCGTGATAATAATGGACCGAACCTCTAAAACCATCAGTGAACCACCCCAGTTCAGTGTTTTCCATTATAACAGTTGTGGTGGTCATGGTGTCTTCACAGTAATAGAAGCCTAACTAAGACATTCCCCTTAACCACAAGCTTCTGGCTGTCCTGCTTCTTGAACCTGTTTGGAGGAAGAAGTTCTGAGTTAGTTATAGCAGTAGCCTTGTTCCAGAAATGCCCACACTGGGCAAAGGTGCCCCTACCCGTTGTATTTATAGGTGTTTTAACATGAGAGCTGGCATGGCTGCCAGGGAGAGGTGAGCAGCCTTTGCAGCGAGGTAGGGGATATGCCCAGGAAGGTGGCTACCGGGCCAGTAGGAACAGCTGGGCTGGCAGCCAGTGGCTTTTACCCCCAGCTCCATCCTGGCTGGGTTGTGACCACCAGTTCGGTATTTACAGGGCTGAGGAGGAGCCTGGATTGCGTCCCTTTATCCCGTGTAGACACATCTGAGGAAGCAGGACTAATCTGTCCTGGAGACCTTCTCCATTGTCCTGTGGCCCAGAAGCAGACTGGTGGATCAGCTAGATGAGAAAACCGTGTAGAGCCTGGGACAAGGCATGAACCCTCCCTTTCCCATACATCCTGCCTGAATCTCCACTCGGGGATTGACTCTGAACAGAAAAGCAAGGCTGAGGTTTGCTGAGTTGGTGGAGCGGCACCCCGAGCTCTGAGTGGGCTCTGCCCCGTAGCCAAGTCACAAGGACGTGGTCTTGGTAGACATAAACACAAGGTCCTCTCCATCTCCAGCGTGTTCCAAGAGCGTAGCATGAGCCATGGATACTGGGGCAAGACCTTTTGCCTCAGTGGGACCTTTTGCCATGCTGAGGCACCTCCTACCTGGCATTCACTGGTTGGGTGGCCTGAGCAGAGAGTAGGTAGGTAGCTTAGGGGGCAGCCATTAGGGTTTTGGGGTAGACCCTTTTCTTTGAGGGAATCTTCGGGGTCCAGCGCCCCTTGGTCGAACAGCTGCTCACCCAGCGGATTCCTGTGTCCCCAGCAATGAGACTAGGAAGGTTGAGGGGACCTATACATTTCAGGGAGGAAGTGTGAGTAGGTGGCTTTCCCCAACTGGAAGCAAAGGTTGGAAAGGGGGGGTGATCAGCAGAGTGGGAGAGCTGCCATTGTCTCAGGAGGGCCAGGGCCCTAGATGGAGAGTGTGGTCTGGGAGGAGTTTAGTTCCAGGTTGGCTGGTAAGGCTGAGAGAAGCTTAGGGAACTGGAGGCAGGCCCTAATGGGGATGGATCCTCGCTCGGGGCAGGGGATATTAGGAAGGACTGGGAAACCTTTGAGTGCACAAACAGCAGTGGAGATCTGGTGTTCTGCTGGAGAGGGACCCCCTCAATGCAGCCAGCTAACACTTTGCGGGCGAGAAAGTTGACCATCCATAGATAGACTCCCTAGCTGGCCCTAATTTCCCATGAGTCTGTCCTGCTGAGGCCAAGAAGCCAGAGCACCCGCTGCACCCCACCCCTACCGCTGACCTAGGGCTGGAGGGAAGAGGCCTGATCCACAAGTCCTCAGAAATGCGGGGCATCACCAGGGTGGGGATGGGGGTGCTCCGCAAACGCCTACTGTTTCCAGGGAGACGGGGGGCGGCACTGATGCGCCAATGAAGGCTGCGGGAGGAGGCGCGTCCCAGGGAGCCGCCTTCATCTGTGTGCGCCTGTGAAGACTGCCGCTGCCCTGGGCTGCGGAGTCCACCCTGCCGCCCGTGCCCCTAGCCTCATCCCGGCCTTTTCCTGCTGAGTCCTGCCGCTCTGCATCTGCGGGGCCCCGGCACTGACACTCGGAATCAGTCGCGCTTGCCATCCGGAGTGCGTCCACAGCTGGGGACACGGCTGGAGCGGCCATCCGGGAAGGGGGGTCCTAAAGCCAGGAGGGTGCCTGCTAAGCTGGTGCCAGGCTGAGTCTGCTAGCCGCCATCTCCATCACCATTCCTCCCCCCTCCCCCACGCTTTCGCCTCTCATCCCCAGCTCCACCACAGCCTGTGTCTCATCCCCTTCCCATCAAGACTTCTGTCCCCAGCCCCGATTTCCACTCATGTCTCTCCAGCTCCCCACCTTCGTCCCATCCCCATCTCCCTGAAGTTGTCCTGCACCATCCTGGCTACCCCCTCCCTAACCCATCCCTCCCTCTGCACCCCCACTGGTTGCCGCAGCCCCCTTCCTGCAACAAGCCCCCCTTCCTCTGCTGAACCCACCCCCAGCCTTAGCACACCCCTTTCCTCCTCCCTTGTCTGCCTCGCCCACTGCGGCAAGCCCCTTCCCCGCCAATCACATTGCCCTCTCTCCCCTCCCTCCATCTCCCGCTTGCCGCAGCCCCCCTCCAAGTGCCCCCTCTGCCTGCCGCAGCGCTCAGCACTCGGCGCTAGCCGCACCCACTGCACCAGCGCCCCCTCCTCACCGCACTGCCGGCACGGGCGCGGCGCGGCGCGGCGCTGGCCGCCGGCATCTGCAGATCCTGCTTGCCGGTTCCAGCTGCGCAGAACTGTCCCTGTTGTGGAGGAGGCAGAAGTGGGAGCTGCAGGTGTCGCCTAGGCTTTGTGCGCCTGGGCCTGGCCTGATGCTGGAGAGGCAACTGATGGGAGCCCTTTCCTGCCCGGAGATGACCCCTCCTACCGAGCCCATACAAGTGCCAGCAGCCCGATGCTCCCCAGTTAGGGGGTCCCCGTTCGTGATGGAGGCTCTTCTTGGTGATGTTGTCATCTGGGTGAAACTGAGGCAGGGGCTTGGGGGTCATGAAGGCATCCAGGAGGGTGGGAGTATTGGAAGTGAAGGGAGAGGATTGTGCTTGATGCTTTTCTAACTTTGGAGAGATGGGGTTGAAATGCCCTCTTTCAGGTGTGACCCTTGGGGACTAGCCAGGTCCAGATTTGTTGGGGAACAGGAGCTGGCAGTAGTGAAGACCCCCTGGGTCCTGGGAGGCAGGTAGTCCCTCAGAAAGCTGGGCCATTTGCTCCTGTTTCTGTTACCGCCAGCTGTCATATGCTGGAGACGCTCAGCCTCTGGGGCTGGAAAGAACGGGGGTGGGGGGGGGCTGATTTACTTTTCCTGAAAGGCCTGGTCTAAGAGCCAACCCTGGGTAGAGGGGGTAGCCTGTGCTCTCCCTTGGCTGTGGCAGCCGTGGGGCTGAGAGCTATCCTCCTGTGCGTTCCTACACTGCCCCAAGCCATGCAGGCTGAAATGGGAGTCTTTAGGGGTGGTAAGGGAAGCAGGTTTTCCATGTGGGCTTGAGGTTGAGGTGGCATGACTCTCCAGTCTCTTGAGAAGGGCGGAGGGTTTCAGGGCAGTGGGTCCCTGAGGTGTCAGGAGCGGTCAGGTCAGAGAGGTCTGTGGACAGCGTCGGAAATGCCCTCAGGATACGGGGATAGGCTGAAGCCCTAGGGTGACGGCTGATGTCCAAGAGAGGGGCTGGCTGTCTGCCGGGGAGGAGCAGGAGCTGCAGCTGTCAGCAGGTGGCAGGAGGGTGTGACCCTGCAAGGTAGGAAGCCACAGGCTGTTGTCTGCTGTGGAGAAGAACAGTGGGGGTGGAGGGGAGACCGGCTGCCACAATCTGGGAGGAGGCAAACAGGTTGCTGCCGCCTGTGGGTTTGCTGCCAGGGGGTGCCATGCTGGGTGTCACAAAAAGCCAGGGGCCTTGGAATTGGGGGGGGAGGCTTCGGGTTTGGGGGCAAGGTTTAGAAAGGGCACTAGGGTGGGGGAAAACCTGCTATGAACAAATAACCCCTGCCCCCAAATAAAACCTGGGGGCACCGGGGGAGGGGAGGGTCGGGTCCCAAAAACCAAGGAGGAAAAGATCTGGAAGAATGAAATCAACTCTGACCGACAAAGATGGGTGGAACGGGGGGCGGGGAGGGGGGGTTGCACGATACTGCAGGCCCCCCCACACACTTCGGGGCTGGGAAGGAGAAAGCTGCTGGTGGGCTTATCCCCTTAGAGTAGACAATTACCTTTCCCCGGAGATTGTGCAAGTACTTGCCATGTACTCCGGTGCTTTTCTGGAAGCGTGGACGGCTTTGAAGAGGCTGCCTGCGCTGTTCCAATGCGGAGTGCCTGTCACCTGGGGCCCTAGTCTCTGGGGAGCTGGGGCTCAGCAGGCAGGCACCTGTCTTTGACCCTCCCCCTCCCCCTCCCCCCAGCAAGCAGCTTCGCCTTGCGCCTTGCGTGGGCTTCTGGGCAGCCTGGCCCAGCCTGCCCGGGGCCCTCAGGCCGGTGCCCGGGCTCTGGCTCCGTGTCTTCACTCCCGTGATTGTCCGAGGAGGGAGGGAGGGACGGGGGCGGTGCTGGGGCAGCTGGAACAGCGCAGGTCACCGGGCTGGCTGGGCGAGGTGGCCAGGCAGAGCCAGGGGGTCTGCAGGGGAGGCCACTGGATGGAGAGTGTCGATAGTGGCTGGCCAAGGGTCTCACGAGTCCCAGCCACCCAGAACCTGCAGTGGCGTGGGAGTGGGGTGGGGCGAGCAAGTGCCTGTTTCTCCAGTGCAGACCCTTGTTTACCCTCTTCCTGTTTCAGCCTGATACCCCCATCTATGTGGTGAGGGGTGGCGACTGGATCCACCAAGGTGGTGGAGGGTGTCAGGAGAGAGGGAAGAGTGGGAGGGGCCGGCAAGGATGTGCCCACCTCTGTCCTTCCAGTGCTCTACTGTGCAGCCTGGTCCTCGAGTTGTCCACCTGCACACATGCCTTTACCCCGAGTGCCCCTGTCACAGCTGAGCCCAAGATGTCCCCTGGACCCCACACGGACACACCTGCAGCCTCCATCCCCAGGGGTAGTTCCCCAGCTCCCTGCTGGCGTCAGGGACGGATCCTCCTCAGGTAGAAGTGACCCCAGCATGTAGCCTTAAAGCTCTCCTCTACTCAGAGAGAGGTGTGGGCTGTGTACCACGTTAGCCCAGCAGGCCATGGCCTGGAGGAGAGCAAGAAGAAGGTCCTGCTCTCAGTCCTGCCCCTTGTGGGTGGTGGATAACCTTCTGCCCATCCCTCCCTACTCTACCCTACTCTAGAAGGAAGGGATTAGAACAGATGTAGGGGGTCCATGGGGAGGGCCCCATCTCTGCCAGGCTTGTGGCTCCCAGCTGTCTGGGCCCCACACCGGCCCTTTCTTGAGGTTGGTGCTTGGTACCATGTTGCTTCCAGGACCTTCAGCCCCGGTAAGGGGCAGGTGCCCTGGGCAGCAGGGTGGGGCTCAGGCAGGGAAGTGGTGGGAGGGCCGGAGGTGTGTGTCTCCCCTCCCTGGCTCCCTTTTCTTTTGATCCCCCGAGGACCCTTGAATCAGAAGACAATTCCTTCTATTCCTCTGCCGCTGTCAGCCGCTGCCCTGTCTGTGGGCCTTTGGGGACCCTGAGACCACATGGGATGCCTCACCTCGCGAGGCAGAAAGTCCCCACAGGGTTCTGGGATGAGGCAAGGCTCCCATACCTCAGTGAGCAGGAGGAGGGGCCTCTGCGCCCCGCCCCCAACACACAATGATCACCTCCTGAGGTAGCAGATTCCTGCTCACACACACTGCTTGCTGTCCACTTCCCTCCCTCTGGCTCACCTCAGAGTCCTCCACCCCCTGATGGCGTCTGACAACATCACACCCTAGAGTCCTCAGCACCTTCCCTTTTCCCATTCCTCTCCCACCTTTCCACAAAAGCCTTCACAAGGATGTGGCAGGGCAGGCTTTGGCACCCAGGGGCCAGCCCTGGCACCTGCTGTAGGTTCTGGAAGCTCTGCATCTCACTGGCTTTCTGGTCTCAGCCCTACAGCTGTAGCATCATGGTCAGCAGGCCTGGCTGAGGGAAGCTTCTGGAGTCCCTGCTGACCCCTCCCTCTTCCCAGACCCTCCACCTAAGCCAGTCCTGTGCCGGGTTGTGGGGCTTTCTCTAGCTCAGAGACCTGTGGGGAGGAAATGGGACAGGTTGGGGTCAGGCAGGCCTTAGCGGGTCTTGAACAACTCAGACACGCCCCCCCCCCAGTGGGACAGAACCTAATCTCCAAGCCTCAGATTCCCTGTGAAAGGTGTCGCTGTCACCTTAGCCAAGGGGCTAACACATCTCATTGAGGATTTCTTCTGATACCAGGAGACTCTCTTGGGTATGAAGCTGCCTAGCATGTACTGTAAGGGCTCCGTGGTGGACACCCCGCTGGTTGTGGACCCAAAGCCACCCTCTGTCCGCAAGTGGGAATCAGTGTCCTCTTGAATGGTGCTACTGCAGGGCCATCGGGAGCTGACCCCTCAGCACAGCAGCCTCGGATAGACAGTGGAGCGGGGAGGCGTCCGCCAGAACCCTGGGCACTGGGAATGTGTCCAGCGGGGCGGGAGCCTTAGGCCAGGATTGGGTGGCCTCTGGGACCCGCGCCTGCACAGAGCACAGTCTTCACCCCAGATTGGTACCCAGGGTCTGGCAGGATGTTGCCACTGGCCCTACAGAACCATCTTCACCAGGCAGTCAACTGTCTGTCAATCAGGTGTGGAGCTAGGTGGCCTCAGACTGGGAAGGGCCAAGAAGAGGCTGGTTTCCTCCTTCCTCCCTTGGGCCAAGGCTTCTGCCAGGCTTGAAAGTCTCTGCAATCTTAGTCAGGCAGCCTCTCCCTCTCCATGCAAGGTCCAAGCTGGCTCTTTGCTTGGGAGCCCTGAAAAGGCTCTCCTTGTGTGCCTGAGATGCTGGGATACGCTGCACAGTACTGAGGCTCAGCCCTCTGCTAACTCAAGACACCTGTGGTACCCGATCCCCGAGTCTTATCTGGGGCCCTGGGAGGTCAGAGCCACAGGAGCCCAGTCTTACCCTCCCCTGTCCCTGTCTCTGCCTTCACAAAGGACTCCTAACCTGCGCCTCATGAGCCCTGTCTTGGGCAGCACATCCTGGGCCACTTCTCCCTGTCCCACCATCCTTTCGTTCCCATCCCGCAGGTGAACATCTGCGGATCTGCCCCCAGGGCTATACCTGCTGCACCAGCGAGATGGAGGAGAACCTGGCCAACCGTAGCCGTGTGGAGCTAGAGATGGCCCTCCAAGACAGCAGCCGTGCCCTGCAGGCCACGCTGGCCACCCCGCTGCATGGCATCGATGGTGAGGAGGGAGGGGCTGGAGGGTGGGCACTTCCGGGTGTGGGGCAGGACTCCAAGGCTAGGATTTGGATGGTTGATGTCAGCAGAAGGATTTCCCTCTTCTTGCAGGGCTTAAACGGAACAGTGAACCCAAGTCGTTATTAGGGGACCTGGGGAGAATGGGCCTGCCCCTCAGGTGGGGAACTACTGCTCTTGGGGTGCCGCTGTGTCCCAAGCAGAGTTCCCTTGAGGACCTACAGAGGGCTGGTCTGCATCTCACCTTTTGGGGTCCTTGTGGTAGGCCACTCTTCCAGCTACCATCCCCTAGTCAGAGAGCTCAGACCGGGGGCTGAAAGAATCCAGGGCCTGCGCTGAGGTGGCTACCTCTTGGCCAGGGGCAGAAAGACTCCTGTGTGCTTCAAGAGGCCAGGTCAGCTACCTTTTAGCATCATCTGTTTATGGACCCCTCATGTGACCTCACTGTATATGGGCAGAGAACAGTAGCCCCAACAGTGATGGCATGCATGTTCAACAGGGATTATATGGTACCGTGGGGTCAGAAGAGCCCCCTAGAAAGCTAGGCCATGGGGTTCATTTCACTGTCTTCAGAAGGGGTACAGGGCCCAGGCAAAGATGGGGTCCCTGCCGTGGGGTGGAGCTGGGAAAGTGGGGAACTGTGAATCTGTAGAGGAAAAGCATGGATGCCCTGAGTCTACCCACAGCTGGGGTGTAGCTTCCAGGGTTTGGAAGTTCCCGGAAATATCAGAGTTGCCCCTAACCGTCTGCATACTCTGACACTTGTTACTAAACCTTCCTTTGTCGCTTGGCGGGGAGGGGAGGGGCTGAGGAGTCGCGGACCTTAGGTCTCCCCTCCGAAGGGGATGCCATCGCAGAGATGTGGAGTTCAGTGACGTTCCCCTGACCCTTAGAATCCGATGCACATCTTCACACCTCGCCAGGAAGTGCCCATCTGAGGTGCTGGTTTGCAGGAGAGTCTGAGAACTGAGGCTTGCTCCTGAAACCTGAAGCTTGGGGACAGGGTTGACAAGAGAAGGAGGAGAGCTGCTTAGAGCAACTGAGAACACTGGGGGTAGGGGCGGGGATAGTGGGAGAGACGGGCAGTTGGCAGGTAAGCATGGGTCACCCTGGTTCCCCCACTCACCCCCACTCCCGCCCCTCCCGGAATCACTGAATCTCAGCTTCTATTGGTTCCTTCTATTGGTTCCTAAAGCCCAACTCAAAAATGGCCTCTGGAGCCCCAGCTAGAGTCCACGGGGCCCTATGACCCTAGAGAGGACAGTCCTGACTTCTGCACCACTAGTGAGGGGAGAAGTTCCCAAGAGCCCGAGCGACCCTCTGCCATATGGTGCCCAACTTTCACTGACTGTACAAGCAGATTCTGTAAAGCAGGGGCTATTCTAGCCCACGGGTGGATTGGCAGAGCCCCCCTCCCCTCAAGGGGTAATGCCTCTCCTCTGTGCACAGACCATTTCCAGCGCCTGCTGAATGACTCGGAGCGCACACTGCAGGATGCCTTCCCCGGGGCCTTTGGGGACCTGTACACACAGAACACCCGGGCCTTCCGGGACCTGTATGCCGAGCTGCGCCTGTACTACCGCGGCGCCAACCTGCACCTGGAGGAGACACTGGCCGAGTTCTGGACCCGGCTGCTGGAACGTCTCTTCAAGCAGCTGCACCCCCAGCTGCTGCTGCCCGACGACTACCTGGACTGCCTGGGCAAGCAGGCAGAGGCCTTGCGGCCTTTTGGGGACGCCCCGCGGGAGCTGCGCCTCAGGGCCACCCGTGCTTTTGTGGGAGCACGCTCCTTCGTGCAGGGCCTGGGTGTGGCCAGTGATGTAGTCCGGAAGGTGGCCCAGGTACACGTACTGCC